GCATTCGAACGAGCTGATTTGCAACTGCACTACATCCGAATGATGTTTACTGGGTGACGACCTCCTATGACAAGGCAATTTTTGCGTTTCTGAGGTGAACGTCATGAGATGGTCGCAATCATTTTGTTTTAAGTTAATGAGTACGCCGAACCAGATTTATTTGCGATGGCAAAAGCAATGGTAATGGATCGCACTAATGTGGCTGTTCATCGATAACTGTTAGCGAATAAATTGCGCACAAATTCAGCCTGCAATATGGTATGGCTGTGGCTTCGATTGGTATCTTTACGTGAAGAGAAACTGCTCATATATTGCCTTCATTTAGAAGGGGGCTTTCCCTGGTGAACAACTGCAGGATTAACTTGAGTAAATGGTGAGATAAAAGGGCAGAATGCTGATACAGAGTTCATTTGAAAGTTCATTTGAAATATGCTTCATGTGAAAGGTACTTTGTTCATGCCTGTTTTGAGTTCATTATGTATTTGATAAGAGGATGATGAGGATATATTGTTTATCACTAGTTTTACTTTTTTGGTGGGTTAACTTTATCAGCACCTTAGTAGCGGTTTTAAAAAAATTTCGGGCTGCGATGTTCTAATTTGACATCAAAGCGCTTCTTATTAGGTACAGCTAATGCACTGAGCTGATATTGTGTGTAAGAGTAGATGCAACACTAACTGAAACAACCACCAATGTTTAGGAAAATCGGTAGCAACAACGTTGTGCATTTCCCTTCTGAATGACTGTTGTTTTAAAGTGATTTGTTCCAGCTACCATCCGCACACTGTGTACTGCACTCAAAATTATTTTCGAATGTGATTTTTTCATGCATTCATAGAACCACGATTTGAAGTTTCATCTGTTTCACGTGATTTTTCATGGAACGTGGGTGAGTTGTCCGAACGTGGAGCCATCATCAGTTACCGACAAGCACGCTACTTCGATGTATGAATACGAAATCGAAAATCGAATACTGCATTGCCACCGCTGGATAGCTCGAACTGCGCAGTTGAAGGGATTCGACCAGCAATAATGAGCACTGCATAACCAATAGAAGGTCACAATTAACGAAAAATTTTTTTAGCTTCGAACAAAGTATTATATACACATACAATAGGAACGTCGATGAAATGATTGAACAATGGATATATAATGCAATCATAAGAAAATAGCATACTGGAGGGACTATTATCGCATCAAAATTTCAAACCAGAGTCAGTCATGGTCCTAGGATAACTGATCCCACGACAAATAAACCCCATACAGCCGCCCCTGACAATTTCCTTCAATCTAACCAAGATAGGGATCTCCTGCTCGCGCTTAGCCAGAGGCTTCCTCAAGTTCTGCTGATGCCTCAAGATGAACCTCCGTCTAAGCCTAAACCTCATTTTAAGCCTGAGAATAAAAATATTGATGGAAAGAACATAATCTACCAATAATGGCAGTTAAGACGATAGCAATGATGGAAGTAATTATGTTCACAAAGATAAGTATCTTAGACACAAGTTGTCAGGGGTAGCTCTTCGAAAGTAGTTTTCTGGACACCCTTAACCATAACTGCTTCATAAGCCAATATCGACGGGAGGTGCCAGTTGAAATAAAATTTGATATGAAGGGAACTGATTGAATTTTGTTTGAAGAATGAACATAGTCTCAGTTTTTGACTAGAAAGTATGCCAATGAAAGATGAGTAATTGAATGGTCGATTCACTTGAGCATAAATTCAACTTTAATTAATAGCGAGGCACTTTCTTGATGGTGTTCGCATTTCATTCTCGGTTGGCATTCAGTCGTTCATATTTCTGATTTATTCATCTCATAGTATATACCTTTCTCTTCCATCAGTTCTTGGTGTGTACCTGCAAATACTCTTCGGGCGTTTTCAAGGATGACAACAACAGTAGAGCAGTGATAGAATGATTTTAGCAACAAAACGATCACGAAATACTTCAGCAATAATCAAAAACTGAAGTGACGACGCTTGATAAAATGGTAATCATACTGTTGTTGTTAGTTGTTTCAAGCATTGTTTTCCTTTTTTGAAGACATATAATTTCCTCAGTCACTGTTATAAATTGATTAATCTGCGAATACTCGAACATAAAACGTTGCCATTTCTACATTAATATCTAGAGAAGCGTTAATGAAAGTTCAAGAGGATTCCAACCGAACCTTGTTCAGCAATCTCTCCATCAACCAAAACGATGATTTTGTCGACGGTTCGAATCGATGATAGACGATGAGCGACTGCAAAGAAATCGTGTTGAAATATGAAATTAACAGAAATTGTCAGCTAAGCCGATCAACAAATCGAAATGAACAACAGAAATGGAGAACGCACATTCGAAACAGTCAGGCACTAGATTTCTTGTTTAAATTCAAGTGGATTTAAATGGACTGGTGCATAATAGGGTGACGAATTCATTATATTCATTCGATGTAAAGACTGAATATGAAAGTCAGAATTCGATGCAATACAACATAAGGTGATCATTAAGTGTAAATAGATTTGCTCCGATGATTACAATGGTTTTTTTGGTAAGCATAAGGGAAAATTTTTTTCGTAAGCATAAGAGAAAATTCGTGCAACTTACTATGTATAGAAGTACAATTTTTACTCGCTGATTCCAAAGCAATTTGCACAGCCTGAAAAGAGCAAAGAGAGAATTAATGAACAGCATTTCAATGGCTTATCGGCATCACAAATCATCTTCTTTAAGTACGAAGCACCTAGAGAGTTTTTGCTCAGATAAATGATGAGCAAAGCAATTCCCACAAATGTTATGCTACCATAACAGGGGTTTCGTTTCTGTGTCTCTGTTTCTGAATGGAATTTTTTGAGCTTCCTAAAGAACATCATCAAACGAACAAGGCGATATGAACTACCTTCTCACTAGCAGTGTCCAAAGCCGCCGTTGCCTCGTCCAATAATAGAACCCTCGGCTCACGAATCATTGCACGTGCAATGGCGATTCGTTGCTTTTGGCCACCGGACAACTGAGCACCGAACTCACCAACCTCCGTATCATATCCCTTAATCAACACTGTCACTTTCTTTTCATTCTTAATCAATCAACGGATCATTTTCAGAATAACCTTAACATTTCTGCAAAAAACTGAAAAGAATTCAAGCCGAGAATAAATAAATGAAATGAAATTCTATGGGATACTCGAAGGAAAACAACAAAATCACTGATTTCAAACAATCATTAAACCTGCGGCAATGATACAATGAAGTCGTGAATATTCGCGATTTTAGCTGCCTGGACTATTTTGTGTTCGGTTGCTTCATCTTCGGGCAGACCATATGCTGAATACTAACAAAAGTTGAAAAAAAACTGGCGAAACTATTTGATGACATAGAGAATCTCTTTGAAGAAATTCGAAGAAATGAAACTGATTCTTCGGCTTTGACGTCGATCATTCAAGATACATGCTAAACAGACCAAATTATTTTCAGTAAGTTTGGGAAATGTAGACATTTTCTGAGAACAAATGAACGCAAAATGATTTTGCCAATGAGCTATACCGCACCGATATTTTCGCGCAGCGTGAATGAGAACAGAGTTGGTTCTTGGCCGACAGAAACGACCACGCGACGAAGATACGACGGATTAATTGATTTCACATTGTGGTTATCGATGATCTTAAAATTGTCAGATTCATTTTCCATTGAAGGTACGAATCAAGTGAAAATATTGGAACAGTTTCATTGACTCGTGCAACTTTAGAAACTGGTTCAGTCTCTCATCACCACTTCAATCGCATAAAGAGCTTTAGTCACGTTCCGTTGCAGAAGTCACATATCAAGAATGGAGACTTTATGCCGACCACAACAGGCATTTACAATATGTTTCTAACTGCTCCACTTTTAAGTAGTTTGTTTTTGAAGCAACAACTGGAACACTTCAAAATTGTTGGGTTTGGCAAATCATATTCGCAACTTTTAGAACCGAAGCGATTTCTTCCTTCCGGATGCAATCATTATTGAAATTTATGCTATAGTAGTCAGATGAAACAAACCACTTCTCCACTGGTTGGAATATACATTCGCTGAAGTAACGCGAATACTGAACTTTTTCCAGAACCAGATGGCCCAACAATAGCAACCGATTCTCCGGGTCGAACCTTAAAAATGAAAATATTTTCTGGGTTCAAGAAGTCTTTTCGTTAAGGAGCAGATTTTAAAACATTTTAGGCAACAGATGCCGCTGCGAGCTGGGATTTTGACTGTATGATCGGGAATCCGATCAGAACAATAAGAAACGAAATTGTTGGTGTTTAACTCGTCATCGGGTCCAGCACCCCGACAAACGCCATCTTTGACAATGAGAGCACCTAACACATAAGCAATACGAGGGAGGATACTGATCAGATGCTCTAGTGATCGTCCATAGATTTTCGTCGGCTGGGAAGGAATAAAAGTGAGAGGAGATGCACTCCATTACTAAATGTTGGANNNNCAGAGAGGTTAGAATTATTATTTTCGATCGCGTTCGGCTACTGCTAACACATCAAACACTGGTAACAACGTAATGATCATCAATCTCATGACCATGATTTTTAAATTACAATGATAAATTGGAGATTAATTGCGACATCTTACCTTGAGCGTCAAATTTTTGAGCACTGGGAGAATTGGTCTCGACGGATATCGGAAATCCACATTTTTCAACATCAAACGACCGGTGATTTTCTGAATTTGCAATACTGTTACCATCCAAAATTATTTTCGATCGGATTTTCGACAACTTGTGTTCAATAATATAAACTCTTGCGAATGGATTTGGTAAACATTGGGTTGGGATAGCAAAACTTTTTGAACCACTTAGCTACCGCACATATTCACGTCAGCTTAACATACGCAATCATCTAAGTGCTTCACTTGAACCATATTGCTCAACATTCTGTGAGGAATGAACGGGAAAATTGCGATTTTTCTGAGTTGAGGAATGAAAGATGCGTACCGGTCGTAAGCCTTCATCGCTCAAATTGTTCATATCCACCGCGCTCTCATTAATCACACCCACAATATTTTCCGCTGCAACTCGAGCTTTTGTGAAGTCGGTTACCGATGCAATCAACTGACTGATAAAGTTGGCACCGAACTGTGTCAGCAGGACCACTCTTCAAAATTTTCCGTTAAACTTTATAAGTACATACATTTTATCAATAGGTCATGTTTTCTGGACTCAAAATCTGCCGTAGGTTTGCATTTACCATTGTAATTCTGCAGGAATATTGGTGACTTAAACAACTGCTAGCATCTCATGAGGACGAGAACACAACAGCACAAAAGTGATGGATGGAAAAGGTACCTGAGATAATCGAACGGAGTGATCTCATTGCTGAGCATCATGACTTTACCAAAATATAAGGTAATTGCAATAAGGATATAAGTGAAACTGAACTGACACGCGAACACAAATGAACTGATACATGATTGACGTTTCATGGTCCTGAAAATATACAATAACTACGGTTCATTCAATTACGGAATAGTCATCTTCCTTGTGGATTTAAGTTCTTCGAGCATCGTCAAGATTCAGATTCAAGACGACTGGATCCTCAAGTAAACTTAGAAGAAGCTCTTTGAAATCATGCATAACTCGTTTAATGTAGAGCGTCAATCGCTTGCTTATGCCGAAAACAAAACAATAAATTCTAAGGTAATCTCCAAACTGAACTAAGTTTTTTTTGATCATCATTCTTGCGTTAAGAAAATCAGTCAGTTTCCCAATAAAATAGGAATGCAATCATATGTAGGATTCAGAAGGGAGCACACCCGAAGTTTACTGATCAACAGTGGGAAGTAATGGCTATGAAGATCCCAGTGGGATGCTGTTTNACGAGGACACTGATCAGTAACATCGCTAACCTTTGGAGAGGTTTCAACGCATCACAGAATATTTTATTGAAATGTTCTTGCAGAGTGTACGCTTTTATTGTGCTCATGTTTGAGAGCACCAAAGTGGCAAGCTGAAAACATTTCAAAGTGAGTCGCACAAATTTTATCGTTGTTCGTAATAATTTCGTTGATAAGACTAACATTCGCTGCTTTCTTCTCTTGTTCAACCATTTGACGTTGCCGTTTACTCGTCTCGCGTAACTCCACCAAACGGAAGAAAAAGAATGCCGGAAATTGGAAACCGCATAACAACGCCAATTTCCAGTTGATAATCAACGCTATCGTGACCGAAACAATTGAACAAATTACCGCCGGTATCAAAAGATCCAATTTCTCACCAACGATCTGCAAATTTGGCGTTATCAAAAGTTTAATAGAGTACATTGATATTTTGATAGTTCTTGCAATATCACGATGTACTTCCAATATCTTGCAATATCTTGCAATATCCTGCTTAAGACTGTTTGGTACGATGTTTATTTGGAAACGAGTAATTGCGAAGTGTTCATCACCTCGACGAAATATCCTACTCACGATCGGGTACTTTCTCGGAAAGGTTTTTTCGTAACTCCTTTTTGTTTGTTGCGGTCTGATTGACAACAGTTTTGTTCGTCATTCTTTCACATCCCATATTCCCGACTGAATTAATATATGTCTAGCATGTTGGGAGGAATTTGTACCCCACTGAATGTAAGGTCCTATCCAGAGTTGCAGCGTTTTTCAACACCCAATAAATGCTTCTAAATAGGATTCGGAAGGTCCTGATCCAGTCACCCTATCTCCATAGAGCCATCTTTGCCACTTAACAAAACCATAAGGAAGTAGCATACCCTGTTCAAACTGGCTGTATCTGAGATAAGGCGATGCACAAGACGGCCGGGAGTGTTTCGCTCTTCGTCAAAATAAGCGGCACCATGTCGAAGAATTGATCGGAACATCTCACCTCGCATGTAACCACAAAAACCGTGACCATAGAGTGCGATAAACAGACGCTTAACCACAATTATCACTTATTATTGTTGTTTTTAATTTCACCTATATCAGTGGTTCTCACGTATTCGTTTAATCCCCTTGATGCTATTGCAAATCGCTAGCTCCAATTTTTAACAGTCAACATAGACGCAAATCTCCTCTCCTTCCTTCAAGTCGGTTATCATCTCTTGGTGATCAGAAAATAATCAGAACCAGAAGGAATTCGAAAAGAAGCAGATAATAATCCACTGATCATGGAGTTTTCTGCCAAAAGTTCGTCGGTGTGAATGGGTTAACTGTGGTCATTAATCATGGTAAATGGCGTATGTTGAAAAAAAAATTGGAAATTTATGCAGGGGATAGAGTGGAAAATCAAAGGAACTTCAGGCAGAAGCAAACATCAAAACTAATTTCGATTTGATTACAGAACTTACACCAACGGCTTCGAACATTGTTTTAATGATGATAAGTGCCGTATAAACGGCTGCAGTGATAAACACTTGTTGTGACATTTCATCGGTTGATGCTAACGCTATCTAAAAGTGTTGAATTTGAAACTTCAACTGAAGTGATTTCTGTATATATGCATAATTTATTGTTAATTTTATTGCACACGGTCGAGTGAAACTCATCGCCTTTTTGTAATCGCTCAGTGCAAAATCAAATGCAAGAGGGAGCCACAAACAATAGAGACATGAAAATGCATCCAGTGAATCAACCTCGAGAACAGATGCCACTTCGAAGCAGACCAATAAGAAGAAGAAGCCTCTAAGGATCGTCACTGGAATCGCAATGCCAAGATGCGTATATCCAGACTTATAGCTCTTTATTAAATTCCATACAGACTTGTAATTCGTTGCTTTACCCGGTAACTGAAAGGTTGTGAAATGAGTAAACAGTCGAACAATGTTATCTCCCTCAACTGATCAATATTACCATTTTGCAACTGATTTGTTCATAATTTGGAATGATGATCTTTTCATTCTTCTGGTTATCTCCTCAAGACGTTCAGAGCAATCAAAAAAATGAAAAATGCAACACGAATGGTATGGAGAGATCTACTGCTTCCGCCTGAAGGGGAATAAGATCTCTTGTCAAAATGTTTCGCTGACTGCATGCCTCATTCCTATATCCGTTCTATCAATGGGATGATGAAATGATTTACAAGCGATTAGTGGAATCGCTAGGTATTTCTAGATGATCAGTAAGATATAAGAGTTTGCAAAAAAGTTTGTTGATATAAGAAACGAGTGAAGATGTTTGAAAGTAGACAAAATCACATCGTCAATTTCCAATGGTGGGTAATAACACTCTATTCGTTACTCACTGTAAATTTCTGCGATTAATGCAGTGAGCAATATCTGAATATTTATTTTCTAAAAAGACTATCTCATAGCCGTCAAAATTAGCTGTAAGAATTATGAGAAAAAATTTGCGATGGAAAACTGTGCTCTTCGAAATTTGCAGCAAAGAACATGGAAAACGATTCTCTCACTATCCCATACAGAGATGTTGAATGTTTCGTTCTGAATGGTGCAAGATAAATCGAAAATGTGAACTTCGCACCGGTAGATCGTCTTCGAACGACTTCTCCTCTGTAGCCACTTCCATAATATTCGTTTGGAATGCGGTATCCATCCGGCTTCGTTTCTTTGACATTACTGGCAATGTCAACTTCTCACGTTCTGTACTTAGCACCGAATACGATTTACCCAAACGTTTATGTGCGCCCAATGAGGAACGCGCCCATGCGCGACGATACGTCTCTGGATCCTGCTGCTCATTTGAAAATTGTTTTTTATCACCGTTCGATTTCGCACGAAAAATGGACATTNAATACCAAAAAATCGTGCGGCGTCATCGAGAAATGTGCAGCGAGTGTAACTTTTGATTTTGCACGTGGATTGACTGCTAGCGAGTCTAGCTTCTGATCGTTGTACATTCTATAAAACTTGCCATCAGTTTTCTCCAGTAAATCTTCAGGACTACCCTCCTCAACAATTGTACCACCTTCCAGAACAATTATCCGATCTGCGTTTCGTACCGTGCTCAGTCTGAAAGCAATATTCAATCATTCAAACCTGAACCTAAAGCGATAAAGTTTCATTCCATAAGCAGCACTAGTCATTTCACTATCGCCATTTGAACAGTAATGAGAATTTGGAAGAAAAGCCTTGTGGTCGAATGGCAGCGCTTATTTTGACAGGAGCTAGTAGTTTTTTTGCAAATGCTTGGAGTACTACATGTTTGTGCTTTCATAAGTGATCACAGCACAGCATTTTCACATTTCTTATAGCTGCCTGTCATGAGAGCAAAAACGAATCACACTTCAGCCAGCAAATCACTGTAAGTAATCAAATCGTCAATTACTATGTATCAAAAACCCATGATCTTTGCGTTTCCTGTAAGAGTATCAGTTCCTGCTGTTAAAGGTGATAAGTCAAACCGATGAGCGATTGTGATCGTAGTAATGCCTTGACTAGCTGCATCGATTGCCTTTTGTACCTCAACTTCATGCTTCGTATCAAGCGCTGAGGTTGCTTCATCAAAAATCATGATCGCTGGATTACGAATCACCGCTCGTGCAATTGCAACACGTTGTTTTTGACCACCAGAGAGTTGCATACCTCTATTGTCATCATTCAATTATCAGTTTATAACCATTTATCTGTTTATCATTTTTTGAGTACAATGACAAATTCCACGCTTCAATTATTAAATCAAACTGAACAGCTCTGATATGGGCCCAACTATGTGGAAAGTTCCGATGATTTCAGGAAACCAATAGTGTATGCCGATCGAAAATATGAAATTGATGAGATTTTTGCCACAGCCAACAATTCACTCTTTTAAATGGTTACGATCGTTATGTCAGTGAATCCCCCTAACAATATTTCCAGCTAAATAAGCGAATTTTCACATACCGATCGCCAACACGCGTCTTCATGCCCTCTGGCAATGCATTAATGAACTGCCATGCTTCAGCTTTTCGAGCTGCATCGTTGATTTCAGTTTGTGTAGCGTCCAATCGCCCGTATCGAATATTGTCGCCTATTGTGCCTGTAAAATGAGCGATTATTCAGTCATTCTCTCACTTAATTGAATTCGTTCATTAAATAACTTTGCTGTCTTCTCAAGGAATTGCCTGTGCTACAGAAGATTTGCCATTCAACTCATGTGAACATCAATCTAAAAAATCAAGGCCGTAGATGGTACCATCAAACAGAACAGGCTCCTGACTGACCAATCCAAGCTGTGCTCTCAAAATATCCGGATTCATTCGCTTTAAATTTATTCCATCGAAACAAATCTAAAATACGATCACTTCTTTATCATGCTCCAACAACTTATAAAATAAAGCAAACGCATCAGGTATATATCGTAAAATTAGAGACTCTGATACCAAGATCCACTCTGATCTATCCAAAACGAATTTTTTTCCGAGTTCCCAGAAGAATCTCTATCCAATTACCTGTCAAAGTGATTCCTCTTACAGTCGCAATGTCTTTGGTTCTAATTCTCATCTTTGTATGATGTGTTTCAAAATTTATGAAATTTCGATTCTAATAGTTTCAAAATTATTTGTTAAAGCGTTCTTTTGAAGACGCCGTCCATCCTGTTTACTCTATTGAAACAGATGATAATATAAGTCATTAGCAAAAGCAATGAAACCATCTTACAGATCCACTATTAGGGTCATAAAACCGCAACATCAACGCCGTTAATGTGCTTTTGCCAGAACCGCTCGGTCCAACGATCGCTATGTGCTCGCCCGACTTCACTGAGAATGTAACACCTTTCAATACCTTAATACGAGACACTTCAATGAATGACATCGTTTCCATAGAACATTCATCAAAATTCTTATGAAATTTTTGATGAATACGATGAGATAATTTTCATAGTTTTTTGTTTTTAAGAAATTTCATTTAAAATTTCAATTTTCATTTTTTATAGTCATTATTGCATGATGGTTTTTCTTCGATTTGATTGCGAGAAAATATCATTTGAAGCAATGGAAAGAATGATGAAACACTGATGTTCCCCAACTTCGATGTCAGGACGACTTGGATAAGTGAACCGAATGTCGCTGAAGTTGATTGAACCACGACCTTTCGGCACCATCATGCTCTCTTTATGTTTATTCACATGACATTCAATATTTGGTTTCTCCTCGAGAATTTCGTTCATTTCATCCGCATTATGCCTGGCAGTTGAAGCACCCGTCAAGTGGAATCCGATACTTATCGAAGTGACACACATATACAGCATATTGATGGCTAGCTGCAAGGTAAAACTCATATAAGTTTAAATGAAATCGACGCTAAATTTCCAATATTGAAAGGCTACGAAGCACGCTAATTGGCTACAAACTAATTTATTCTGCATGTTCGATTTGAAAAATAGTTTTTGAGAATTTTCATATCTAATTTGCGGGTGTTCACCACACCTGTTTGAAACACTTTTCCTGCTCTACGAGTAAATGAGTCTTCCCTCTCATAATCCCACTCTTTCAATCAAATTACAAAACGACAGATTACGGAAAGATATTCCACCGCAAACTCCAAAATACCATTTCCCCGAAAATGAAATGAAAAACGTACAGCAGCTAAACGTCCTGGATTGTTGTCGCCGACCCGCCACATACCATAACATAATGCAGCCGTAAAAATGAACTCAGTCAAAAGAACCTGAAAAACAATTTTTATTAATTGCAATCGAATCACTCTTCTGATTGAATACATGGCGATTTCAACAATCTAATCTCATGCTATTGTTGTTCTAGCTGAAAACACCATGATTATCGCTACAATTGATTCCGCTTAAATGAATAAAGACCCTTAGTGTCGAATCATATGAATTCATAATTTCAGTATTCACTGCAATGTAACAAGGCGACAGCACCGTACACTGCAAATTCTATCGATAGTTTTCCAGTTTGCTGAAACAGTGCTTCTTGGTTTGATTCATAGTAAGCTGTGTTTCATGAAATTAACCGATTTGTGCTTTTAAATCCTGCGAAACTGTCCTACAAATGAAATCAAACGAATTTGTATTGATCAATGATAATGCAACATTTCGCACTTTCACTAACAGCAAAAAACTATTAACATTCCATCATACAGCTATTGAAAGCATTCAATCAGGCGTAGCAATAATTTTGTGGATGCAAAACAAATTTCTATTTATAAATTCAGTGAACCGGAAACGTTAAGTACACATTCTACAAGGAGCGCATTAATGAGTCACACGCCTTCTTGCATCCAATTGAAATAAATTTTCGATTGCAATACGCTTCGAAGTTGATCACTTGTGAGTTGATTTATGAGTTTCACTTCAAACAAAATGCTGCTGTGTCATTGATCAAAATCTTACTCTCAACATTCACATTCATCAGAAGAAACAGCACAAAGAATTAATTCAACCTGCTCCTTAATTTCAACAAAATATCATTTCTTGTTTCTAACGATTGCACATTCACTAGGAGAATTAGCGTTAAGATCAGCATCATGAGCTTTTTAATGAGCATTCCAAAGAACGAACCTGTGCTAAAGCATCGTATATCGATGAGGCGGTCAAACGTTGCTCAGTCATTATATTATGTTCAGCCATTAATCGCTCATATCTTCAATTTTGAATCGATCGCATCAAATTTCGACGGATAATTTAACGAAACCACACAAAAACAGACTGCTTGCGGCAGCTCAATTTTCTTCAGACTTTTCAACGGCTATAAGGCTTTTTTTCACCTTTTCTTTTCGGAGTCTAACTCCCAGAAAAAAGCAGTTTTTAAAATGTCAAAGAAAAGAGTTTTATAGATGAACGATTACTTGCTAATTGTTTGTTTTTGCGCAGCGAATGAGATCACAGTCCGAATGCACGAAAACGTTTCTTGCACAAGATTCGTCATTTTTGCCAATAACTTCTGTTCATCGTCTCGCGTTTTACAAAACCACTGAAATTTGGAATGTTTGTGCTTTCTGCACAAAATTTATCAAAGAATATTTGTCCAAACACTGATTGTGAATGCTTCATCATGAAAGTCTATTTCACCACTGATTATTTCAGTCTAATTCACGGCCCAACCATCAAACCATACATTTCTCTCGTACTTTTGAAACTATTCGAGAGGTAAAAGAGAACTACATCTATAGCTTTCCTCCTATCGCATCCATCCTTCCGTTAATACTATCGAAGCATAAAATGAACAAGAGGATTGTTGGCAATCAACTAGATATGAATGCAGTCCAGTTATGTCAAAAACTAGGGGGCACCCGGACTTGAACCGGGGACCTCTCGATCTGCAGTCGAATGCTCTGCCACTGAGCTATACCCCCGACATTTGATGCCTCCTGTGTCACCAATGCAATTTTTATGGATTTTAGGAAAGTGCAAATCAGAAAAAAGTCACATTCATCGCATCCCTTTGATATACTAAACAACATCGTGAATGATCTATAAAATATTGGTGAATGAAAATTGTTTGCGCCGAAATGCGAACGAGAGATTTTGCATAGGAATTCGCTGAAACTGATGAGTGAAAAACATTCATGAGCCCTGGTCATAGCAAACACAACTAACTCACTTTACTGAATACCAACCGAGTACCAATGAGAACTGGTAGTGCAGCGAACATGACCAGCGTCACGTCCCACTGAATATAGAAACAAACCACTAGTGATACCAATAAATACGAGAATATAAATATGACCATCGGCAGATGATCGGTAATACCCTGATATATCGAATCTGCATGGCTGAAATATTGTTCTGTTGCCTGCCATACACTACTGGGCTTCTCACGAGCTTATGCTCCGTGCTGCGTCCACTTTGGCCTCATGGCAAACCTCTACTCTCTACATCATTCTACTTGACCGGAATTTTACGTATCTTTGACAGTTTTTAAATTCCTAGCGCAAATCAGCAAGACATTAGTAGATTGGCTCATCGATCAAAAGCCATTATGCTAACTTCAATTGCTCAATTAGTATTGATGGCAAGAGACTAGGTGTTCATCATAAATGCATGTGCCCTCGTGGTGGTTTTTGTATGTTCTGTTAAGTGGTGATATCAATAACAACAACATCGCTGCATTGCTCGTTTCAATGAAAAACAAAAAACAAAAAAACGAACCATCCATCGAACCGGTTCAATCAAAATGAATAATTCGTTAAACAAAGACACTTTTCAAATTGCTCGAATGATTTCAAACAAAAAACAGCTGCAATATGTTCGTCGCACTAATGCTGCTGCCGAAAAAGTGACTGTGGTATGACATAATCAATTATGAACAAACAGCGACTCACTCGTGAAGCATCGAAGCTACCTGACCGGAGTGTCTTGACTCCAGCCATGCAACATCCATATGTAGTAACTTTCTAATATAAGCCTTTTTCACTCGAAATACCTGCCGAATACCGGACACCTCCCATGCTAACCTCTGAAACAAGAGTGATCGAAAATGAGCAAATCAGAAGTAGAAGAAATCAGCATAAAACCTTTAAAATTGATCGCTTCTGAAATGTACAGACGAATCATAAACGTTTATATAGGCTCCATGAATTAATGGGGAAGTTTTTTTACAAACTTGTCACAGGAAGCCCTCACAGCCGATCCAAATTTCATGAAGACGATTGTGCTTTCCAGCTCAATTTGAAAAGTAGTTCAGGTTCATTTTAGACCTGTGCAAAAAGGAAAGCATGGTGTATTTAAGAGAATACCGAACTGAACCTGAAAAAATGCAGAAATGAATGTGGCGATAGATAACGCAAGCATAGCGAGAAAGACTGGCGTTGCGGACGACTCGAATTCTCGATCGATTGCGGACTGCCGAATGAGTTGATGATCTTCAGCGTCTGCAGTGCTGTTTATCATTGTAACTTCATCCAACCGTTCCAACATCTCGATGTGAACCGTTTTGTTGATTTTCATTTGCTGAAATCAAGCCATCTCAAATTCTTGGTCCCTCTAATACTTCTGCAAAACGATGTGAAATTTTGAGGTTTCTCTCAAACATTTCACACCCCAAATAAATGTTTTCGGCAACTGTTGGGTTTAATCGAAGATCAGTACTTGTGAGAATGCTCTTCGAATCAGTCTTGATCAGTTCATCGATCAACAATCAAGTGATTTCGATAATAACAACAACAACGAATTGTATCGCTAACCTCCCTGACAATCGACAAAGATACAAAATCGCCCATAACCAACCAAACGAACGGAGGCAAAACGGATTGAACTAAAGCGAGTACCAAGCCAACCATCATGAGCTACAAGTAAGGATTCGTTNCATAGAGGAGGCATCAAATGTCGTTGAATGGTCATCAATGTGTACCGAGGAAAGCATTCCTAACCTGAATATCGACAGCATCCGCGAAGCTGTAAAGAACCGTGAAAGCTGGCCATCTTTGACGAGGGCTCGTCGGTTCTTCTGCGTGGATTTTCATGGATGATTTCAATCACTATGGGTTCTATGAGCGCCCCTCATGGGCTTAAATAAACAGATGACGAGTCCTATAAGCGTCGTAACGATACGATGCTAAACTTTCACGAATATGCTGGAAAATGTTTGAAGTTGTCTTTAGAAAAGGATGAATTTGAGTGAATGTAGCAGAATAACATTGAAGCATAATCGATAACTGCGATATTCGAGAAGTAGCAATACGGAATCGTTAATTTAATGCCCATCTCATCAACTTACTGCATATCGTTGATTTACTGTGGGTCTTATCAAAAACAATAACGGCTGCGGTCAGTTAAAAATTCTACACGTTTCTGAACAATCTGTCCAGTGTGAACGCAAACAATTCATAAAAAAATTCATAAAATAATGATACCAGTAATAATAGTAATGCCGAAATTTTATTAACAAATGCGATGAAATATCTCTGGGTATACCTATTCATAAACGTTATCAGCACAAAGATAAGGAACCACCACATTCGTTAAAGACAACAATAATAAACAAGTGATTTGTTCTTGCTGATGAATACGTCAACAACCAACTGCTGCCGATCAATTAACCTGACAAAATCGCGAATTTAGTGGACCGTCAAGCATCATGGTTTATCAATCAAAATCATGGAATATTTCTCGGCGAAAACAGTCAGAATTTCACTTTCACATCAACTGATAAGGGATCACTCTCACTATCGGATGAATGACAGCGAAAAAGGAATCGCACGCTTTCCAGCACCAATTCTTTCATTCCTTCAGAACATTTTTTCTTCGCTCATTTGTTGGCAAAACATGATTGTGTGTGAGCAATAGTAAAATTGATTAATAACGATCGCGTAATTGCAAAAACCTGCTCGTTCATCACCGCAATACCATACGAAGTGAACGGTACATTCTAATGCACATGCTAGCGTCCCTTCAAATAATTTCATGGTCTCGATCCGATAACATACTCAATCAATGCTATCTGTATTCATTCACTTCCGTCACCAACAACACATTTTTTGCTACCCAAAACAATCTTCGATTCTATCACTTTGTAATTTAATTCGATTATTAGTTAACCGTTGAAGAGTGATTTAATTAGCCAATATTACCGTCAAGCATTCGTATTTACAAAACAAACTGTTGATGTTCTAAGAATATACACATGAAACACTTCTGAGCAGTTTAATCTAATTGTAATTGTCTCAAGCAGGAGTATGGAATGTTCCAAAATGGACTAGCCAGCTACATTAATGAGCAGAACTCGCTTCAGCGAAGTCATTCGCAATTATTATCGGTGATTTCATCCCGGTTGAGGCATTTCCTACCGTTCTAGGAATTACACCTCATAAACGATGAATTCTTCATTAACTCTTCTCTAGTTACGAGTTTTGTGAAGAGCATGAGAAAATCGAACTAAAAAGCTAATAATGACTGTAACAGTATTTATGCAGGATTATTTGTCGTTCTCGAATGTTACTGTTGACAAATCTGAAAATCCGATGCATTTTCAACCATCTCTGTCGGTAGTATGATCGTTAGGTTCCACTACAATGATGGAGTGAATTTCCAACGGGAATTCTGTTCTTCGAAAGCATTGTCATTAAGAACGCCTCCAAATACATTTGACTTTGAAAGCGAGAATTTTGCTGCGTTAACCGCGTCCACCAGAGATTCTTAGTTCACTTCAATTTCAGTTTAATCGATCTAAAGTTTTTGAAGTTTGCTACATCCTGACCGCAACTGAGCAAATTTGAACTAAACTAAATTGGTCTTTGAATTGTGACTATTGACGTAAGTAGCGATACCCCATCAAAATGTTTTAAAGTCAACATCATCTGATTAGAAACCATACAGAATTCAATTTCTCTTCATTTTATCCAGTTTGATGTCTGTATTTGGACTAAACGAAATTGGTCTTTCATTGGTTACCTTCAAATATCCACTTATTGTTCAACTTCAAATTAGTGTTGAGAACCGCAAGATTTTTCTCGGTGGTCACCGACCGAGAGCCCTGTCGGTGATTGCAGAAACTCGGTATTCACCGACCGCATAATTTTGAGCATCGGTCGGTTGCGGTTCGGTTGTAATCACGGGGCGGTTTGCCCCCGTTACCGACCGGGCAAGCTTTGTCGATTGCAGTCGGTGGTCACCGACGGTCGGGAACCACCGCAAAACCGTCGGTGATTACCGGTCGATTTTCGGTGGTCACCGACTTAACACTGCGTCTAATAAATGAAGTGAAAGCAATCCGAAACAAAACAACTTTCATGCGGCGAACTATCGCAGTAAGTCAGGTTCAGAATCGTCACATATACGTGCCAGAATAAAACTCGACGAGTCTGCTTGACACACTCGTAACGTTAACGGAAATTGTGAAGACTACTTATTGCACGATGCTTTACCTCAATGATGTTCAACAGGTTGCGATGAAACTGCCACTGTTAAACGCGTATAATTGAATCACAATCTTAATTGTTGCACGAGATTCGATTCTAGTGAAACTCCAGTTTACTGGAACTTACCTAAGTATCACTATACACTTTCATTTGGACTCATCCAGCTCCAGCTTAGTCTTCTCATTAGCAGTGGTGCTTTCATCCCAGAGCACTCTGTTCAGTCTTCATTCTACTGCACTAAAAGCCTTATTTGCGGCTGGTTCATGCAGATTTGGTCAATCTTCAATTCATCAACTAATAATTTCCAGAATCATACTCACTGCATAGAATCAGAGAATTTGCATTTAAAAATCTAAAAATTAACAAAATCAAACGTTATTTTGAATTGATCTCGACTAAGCTAACAGGATCACGTGCGACTTGACTAATGAAAATGAGAGAACGTATCACACACTACTGATGACATTGATTTTCGACTGCCTTTGACGAACACAGAAGTCATTCTTCCGAAATCGACAATGGCAGAGATAGCGTAAAGAAATGCTCGTTTACGATTATTATGAAACTTCGTAGACTTCACATCTTTAAATGACCGTTTATCAAACGATTAGAAACACTGTTATCGGGCTGTTACCCAAAGTTACCTTTAATCATTTTTTCTGATCTAATCATGATCAAAGAAGTTTACCTCGAGCTCGACCAAAAAAAATAATGCCAAAGAGCGATTAAGAATAAATTTTTATCGACCATTTCCATACATTTACTCGTAATGATTGACTATTCCTGGTCAGTGAAGTGACTGACGGTAAGCTAGCAACTTGTTGTTTTGAAGTATGGTCGGCCATCCACGTTGATGGTGAGCCCTACCTCCTCACTTATCGTGTTAAACAAACGAACAGTAACAAGTGTAAATTCCGAAGTACGATAACAAGGTTCATTAAGAAGTAAACAGAACAAGAACGACTGAATTGTTTCGACCGCGAATACTCACAATCAAAATGATGATAAGCAACATTTTCCCAACGCTTTGTCGATGAAATTCTTTTTTTCTGCAATAAGGAAAACACGAAACAGAAGCATAGCGCGTAAAATAGTATAGGAAACAATGCGGAATTCAAAAATTGATGTAACGGTATTTTACTCGTAAAAGAATTTGGAAGAGTGGAAAGAGACACACTTAAGTGGATGCGTGTATGCGCAATTATGAAATTGCTGTTAGTGGTGATAATGAAAGTAATTACAGTCGCAATATAATGCACAAAAATAGTATGACACCACTCAAGAAAAGAATTCCATCGACCCAGGTAAAACGCTCTTTCTAATTCCTTTTCCCAATCAAAGATCGCTGAGTCAGTGGTGCAGACAAAATTCAAGAAAGTGTTTGGTTTTTTCCGTTGCCTGCGTAAAAAGAATGATGAGATATGATCATAAGAGTGATGATTTTTGACTGAATAAATGTCGCCCCGATGAAACTCACAACCAACAGGGAATGGTGCGAGTTTCCCGTGAAAGACACTTTTTGCCCGGACGTAACCTCACTGAGGTAGTGCGATGAGACATCGTCAGAAAATATCTTTTCCACTTAAATATCTTTTAACTTGTTAAGTAAAATTCTCCCCTTA